GGTGAGGGGTGGGCGGATTGATGAGAAAGAGCCATGGAGAACCTTTTTATGTTTGAAACTGCAAGCGACTGTTTGTTGGTCGTTGAGTGCACTGTCTGCACTGGCAATGAGCCGGGGAGTTCTGATGATAGAGTCGATGGCAACAAGACTGCCATTGGCTGTACCATCAGGTCGCCCTTCTCTGTTACCCGTGTGGCGCTGCAGCGAAATGACAGCGAGGAAATTCACACTACGTAACATGGACAGACATTCCTTCCTCCCTTCATGAGTCACTCACGAGTCTGAGGTCTACCACGTGTCCCGGTCACGCAGTGCAGGCGTCTGCGCACATTCACCTATCTATGTATATGCTCACACCCGGCCACCCAATGGCATGAGATACATACCCCCGGTTGGTTCGGTCAGTCAGTCAGTGCTGCGTGCCCAGCATTTTCCGGCGCATTGCCACCGCCCTCTTGTACATGGCCAGGTCGATGCCGTCGACGTTCCGCAATGCCCGCGCCTTGAGCACCAGCCTCCCCTCTGCTTCGCCCTCCTCTCGCGCCAGCTCCCCAATATACTGAACCATGTCATTCTCGCGCACCTGCCCACTGCACACCACACCACACCACGCAGACAAAGGCTGATGGATGGATGGTGGGATGCACGGTTTGGCACTACTCAGCTGCACATACCTGCCGTCGGCGATGACTTCGAGCTGCGCGGGTCCGTCGGCGATGATCAGATGCTCAGAGGTCGACACACAGCGGCCAGTCACTCGGACTGACTTGCCGACGTCGCCGGCAGAGATCTCCTCTATCAGCACCACCGCCGCTGATTTGATGGCGCCATCGTCTGCTGCGTCATCCATCAAATCAATACTTTCGGTGGGTCGGTCGATGGCAAAACGTTACACGAACGGAAGTCACTCGTCCATCATTGACTTGACGAACCAAAGACAAACAAATCCCGTGGCAGTCATGAAGCACACGGATGGAGAGTTTGACTGACTGACTGACTGACTGGCATACATGCAATCCATGCACTTGTCCATGCATGATATGATGCGATGCCCCACTCACCCACTGACTGCCACTGCTCACTCACTCATGGCATGGACCAGCAGCTCTGCCAATTGAAAACTCAGTCGTTCTCCTGCCAGACAGGACAGCATCACACAACAGGATAAGCAACTAGGCCTGACAATATAGGCCCGACGGGCACCGCCCTCAATCAACCGGCCCTCACCTGAGTGTTTCATGGTCGCTCGTCACTGCCATCTCCCTCCCCCTCCCCCTCCCCATCTCCCTCTGCCTCTACCTCTCCCTCTGGCTCTGGCTGCTGGTGCTGGTGCTGCCCCTCCGCTTGGCAGAGGATGAAGTAGTCGTTGCGAGCGAAGTGGCAGATGAATGTGGGCCACGAGAGGATCACAAAGAAGAAGACGGCGAAGGTGAGCGCCTTATTCTTGCGTCGCTGCTCCTGCTCCTGTGGCGTGAAGGGCTCCCAGAGGTTGGAGGGGTTGCTCATGTCCAGCCTGTCGCCCTTGCCGTCGGCCTTGTAGAGGTGCCGCCCCTGCACGTAGGTGCCGCGGGTGACCTGCCGCTTGTAGTCCACCACCGGCTTGCGGTACTGGTAGGAGGGCCTCAGGGGGTCGGCCAAGTACTGGAAGAAGGCCGCGTACTTCTGCCGCTGCACCACCGACAGCGTGTGCATACTCGACTCGAACCCGGCATTGTCTCGCCGGATCAGATACTGACGGATCTGCAGACAGTCACCACAGCGCATTGCATTGCATTGCATTGCACAGCACAGCAGCCAGCAGCCAGGTATTATTTGGCACTGTGCTGGGCCCGCCATGTATCATCTCCCTCCCTCTGCATCTGTGTGGACATACATACTTACCTGTGGCGATAGTCGTGCCCAGATCTTGTCTCTGTATCCGGGAAACAAGCTGTTGAGGGTGTCCCCTCCGCCGCCACCCATCCTCAACAAACAGGCCTCCCTTCCCAAGGAGGTACCTCCAGCTCCAGATCCGCAAGCTCAAACATGCTGCGAGCTTTCAGGCGAAGAGCGGCAAGAAAGCGCAATGGTAACCTCACGGACTCGGCGCAGTGAAGATTTTCTGTTGAGAATTCCTCCTTGTGTGTGTGTGGTGTGCAGGCCACTCCGACAGATCCCGAGACGCTGGTGGGCAGACAGACGAGATGGGTGCACCTCCGCACCCACCGATGCTGCCTGCTCTGTGTGTGTTGCCTGCCTGCCTGCAGGTCTTTTTGGCGTCGCGTCGGCTGGAGTCTGCGGCCTCTCCCGAGTACACTATGACGTCTGCGATGAAGCATGACCCCGAGCACTACGACAGGGCCTACATGCTGTGCCGCGGGATGGGCAGCCCACACAGCCAGTGCACCGGCCTCCCAGTCGACACATACATCACGCCACAACACCCTCTCTACAAGGCAAGTCAAGCCAAGTCACACGCAGGCAGGCAGGCAGGCCCCGATTGAGAACACATACCGATGAGATGACGGCGGGGGGAGGGATGGACAGACATATGATATGCACTGGCTGCCGCTCCCGCTTCATCTCGTGTGTGTGTGTGTGCGTGTGTGAAGGAGTTTCGAAGCGAGTTGTTGTCTGGGATGGACTGCATGACGGAGCATCGTGATGAGTCCAAGTGCCACCACTTCACTGAGGGGCTGTACAAGAAGCTCACGTGGAAGGCACCCGAGCCAACCACCACACAGAAAGCCGCCACATTCCTCGGGTGAGTGAGATAGATGTCTACATCAAGGCACGCAGAGCAGAGCAGAGCAGGGGAGGGGAGGGAGGGGCGCTCGGTGATTGATTTATGGCGTTCGTGTGTGTGTCCACGGTGTCTGTCTGTCTGTCTGTCTGTCTGTCTGTTGTGTGCAGCAAGCTTGTGGGGATCAAGCCACAGCCGACTTCCTGATAATGCAGGATATGTCAGCTAGCGCACAATGAATGCTGCGGGGGCGAGTCTCAATGAATGCTGTTGAATGCCCCTCTCTCTGTTGTTGCACGCTTTGGTTGTTTTCTCCTTCTGTGCGGCATCACGCACGACGCAAGCGGCGCAGCGACATCTGCGGCCCTGGGAGTTTTACAGGGTCGTAGACGTCGCAGCGTTGTGTGCGTGGTGCGCGATGCATGCAGCACATACAGGATTTTACGTGGGGCAGGTAGGCAGTGCGTGCTGTGATTGATCGAGCATCAGGGATGATGTAAGTCAGCGGCTCGTTCGTTGTATGTGCTGCGGTGAGCGCAGACACTCGACATCCATGGGGTTGAAACCCAACCCTGCACCCCACAAACCCTGATTCTGAAACATCTCACTCTCTTCCTTAAATGACGCGTGGCTCCTTAACAATGACGGCAGTGACTTGTGGCGTCCTGATATTTGTGTTGGGCCTCGACGCTCTCTGCTGGGCGTCAGGCGGCGTCAAATCGATCAGAGTGCCCATGGTGAGGCGCGCGAGAGACCCGAGGAGTGACAGGCACGGCAGACGGCTGACGGGCACATCCGCCGCTCTCAAGAACGTCCAGGTACGCCACATCATTGGCCAATGGCGACTCCCGTGAAGACCACATTGTCTGTCTGTCTTTCTCCTGGTCTTGATATGTATGTAACATCGATCAGGAGACTCAGTATTTGCTCGAGGTGCAGATAGGCAAGTCGAGGCTGAACTACGAGCAAAACTTCACCATGATCCCTGACACAGGCAGTGCGGATGTCTGGTGAGGGAGGCACGGAGAGAGGAATCCACACACATGCCTGACGAACACCTGCCTGTCTGTTCATTAATTCCTTTCTGTGAGCCTCTCTCTGCTGTGCTTCTGTGTGTGTGTTTGTGTGTGTATGTGTGTTAGGATTCCGAGTGTCCGCTGCTCTACATGCACTGAAGGCGCACACGTGAGTGCACAAATGGCACTCACACTCACTCATTCACAGTGAGGGAGGGCATGCCATGGATCACATCAACTCGACGGTGTGTCGTGTCTGTCTGTGGTGTGGATGGATGGACGGCATGCCACCATGCCACCATGCCATGCAGCGTTATGATGTGGATGCGTCATCGACGGCCCTGTGGCTGGGGCAGATCAAGAGCGAAAAATACGGAGATCTCACTTCAAGTCAGGCAGTGCACTGCAGTGAGAGAGGAGAGAGGACTGACCGTGTCATTAGGGCTTCGTTCCTTCCTTGCTTGTGTGGTGGATATGTTGGTCTCTTGCTGCAGTCGAGGGCCGGACGCTGCTGGACCGTCTTGCGATAGTGGGTGTGGATGGAGGCAACGTGACGGTCGAGAGGCAGTTCATGCTCGAGGTCACCGACTACGAGTCACCACAGGCAATCATGATGTCCGACGGCATACTCGGTAAGTAAGCCTCCCAGCTTGCCCGCCCCGCCCCGCACTGATAGATATCTTCTTACACGTTAGCTATGTGTGGATGTCTTTCCCACTCTCTACCTCTGTGTGTGTGTGTGTGTGTGTCTGTGTGTGTGTGCAGGTTTGTCGCATTACACCGACATGGAGCGTCATCTGCGTAACGCGTCGACGTTCATCCGGTCTTTGTTCCGCGAGAACCCATCGATGCCGCGGCACTTCAGCTTCTACCTCACACCCGACGCACACGGATCGGCACTCACCTTCGGAGACCCATGTCAGTGCAATCAGTGCAATCAGTGCAAGTGACGATCAATCAATCGTTGCGATCTTCACCCACCTCACCTTTGTTTGCTATCCTTTCCATGTGTGTGTGTCTCTGCCACCCATCCATCATATCTGCAGTGTTGGATCAGCACGCCAAGAGGCCGTCGCCTCTTCCGCCCAGCGCGAGTTCGTCTAATTCGTCCATGCTGGCCGGCGTGACCTTCAGCGACCCCTACTGGATGCGCATGAAGAGGGGGTGGCACGCAACTATCAACGGAATCGGTCAGCTCAGCCGGCGGCACGCACACACGAGCGCGCGCGTTTCTTATTCGGATGTGCTGTCTTGGAGTCTCCGGTGTGGTGTATGTATGTGCTGTGGTGTGCTGTGCTGTGCAGCATTGAGTGGCAGTGGTGAGGAGGTGAGTTTCCGCGACGAACCACACAGGGTGCCAGCACTCATCGACTCAGGTAGAGTAGACAGACCTACCTGTCCTGTCCACACACACATCAACCCACATCGTACCCACGTGTGTGCGTGATGTCTCACTGCAGGCACGTCCCTCATCGTCATGAAGCATCGCATATTCGACAGGTAGGTAGGTAGTCAGGTACGTGGGTGGGGTAGGACACGGCAGCCCAGCCGACGACACCATATATAGTTGGTGTGTGTGTATGGTACGACCGCCAGGTTAGCAGAGCAGCTGATGGCCAAACGGCTGTGCACACCGAGGAGAAACAGAATGACCGACCAACTAGAGATGGTATGGATCTATCTACATAAGCCAGCCACAGCACAGCGAGGGACGCACCGCACAGACATTAATGATACAACCAACAGTCAGTTGGGTGTGTGTTTGGTGTGACTGTGCGGTGCGGTGCATGGCGTCCACCGTGCGTATATGGTCGGTCGGTCGATCGGTCAGTACTGCAAGTGTCCGTCTCGCATGGGGTGGTTTTCTGAACCATACCCTCGGCTAAGGCTGGAGATCATCGACCAAGCAGGTATGTACGCAACATGTCAGTCAGAAGGATGGAAACGCCGATCCCTTTGCAAGCCCCTCGTCACGTCTATCTGGTCCATTCGTTCGTTGGTTGGTTGGTTCAGGCAATCCCTTCCCCCTGTGTGTGGCCCCCGAAGAGTATGTGATAGAGATCCGCCGCCCCTTCGGCTTCTGCACGGGTGTGCTGGGCATCGAGCGGGGCGAGTCCCTCCCAGTGGCCGTCATCCTCGGCATGACCTTCCTCCGCTCCTACTACGTCATTTTCGATCTCACCGACCCGCACCACAACCGCATGGGCTTCGTGCGGTCGGCGGCGTCGGTGCTGCCGGCGGATGCGACTTGTCCCGTTGAGAAGGACTATCTGGAGCCGGGGAGCCTTGCGCGGATGGCCCACTGCATCTTGATGAATCTGGCGCTGTGGGTTTTTATTGTGGTGGGTTTGGCCGCGGCGGCGTGGTGGCTCTTCATGAAGGCCAGAAGGCACTACAAGTAGCTAAGCCAACCACACACCGCAGCCCACCACAGCACAGCACAGCACGGCACAGCACAAACGGCAGGCAGAGACACGTGCAGTGCATGCGTCGTCTCCCTGTGTCTGTGTCTGTGGCCAGTCGTGTTGACGAGGCGTTGTTGCTTGAGGATAGGTCGGCGGCGATGGAGCTGCAGACTATCAGGACTTGACGACACGACCCAGCCAGCCAGTCAGTGTGGCCGGCTGGACGGATGCACATCGTGACACACAGAAGCCGATCCGATCTGTGTTAAAAGTCCTGCGGGATTCTGCGGTGGTGGCACACCGTACCGCATGCAGGTCTGTCTGTCTGTCTGTCTGTGACATCGATCTCTCTGTGTGTGAGTGTTGCTGGCCCGCGTCCTCCCTCGTGTCAAACGAGAGAGAGGATCTGTCAAAAGAAAGACACGCACGGCACAGGTGTGCCTGCCTGCCTGCCTGGATGGATGGATGGATGTGTGTCCTCCCTCCCGAGGATATCGATGGGTGCCATGCCGTGCCGTGTCCTGTCTGTACATACGTATCTATCAAACAGCCCAGCCCCACCAGCACCTACTGTTAGTCAGTCGGTCCGCTTTTTCGTTGCTTGCTTTCTTTGCTTTATGTTATGTTACGTATGTATGGGTCGGTGAGGTGAGTGAGTGCTGGTGTGGGTGTGGGTGGAGGGATTGCTGTCAATCAGTCAGCTCCGGCTGGCCGTGGGTGGGTGGGTGACTCTGTCAGGTCAGCTGGCATCCATCCATCCATCGCCCTTGCGACGACTGAGAGCTGATGTGATTGATGTGTCTGTCAGTGTGTTATTTATCACTCACGGGGAAACAAATGTACGTGTGTGTGGGTGTGCGTGTTGTGTGTGGTACGGGCTTCATGATGGACGCCACGCCCTTGGTTTGATTGCATGTGTTGCTCGCTTCCTTCCTTCCAGCCATCCAGCCAGCCATCGGTCATGTGTGCGTCCTGTCCTGTCTTGGTCCGCACACACACACACACAGAGACAGAGACAGAGACAGACATTGCATAAAGGCAGCAGCGCGCACACACAAACACGCATTGCACATTGAGGGAGGGAGGGATGGGACAGCACGTCGGGCACCGAGAGCGGGGCCCACCTCTCACACACAGAGACACACAAACTGTCCTTCCTGAATTCTCTGGATGGATGGATGGAAAATCGCACTCAGGGCCGCACCACCGTCTAGATGATGCGATGCAGCCATGGTGCTTGGCTTGCACACAAACACACACTGAACGACAGGTAGGACCCATGTCCGTCCGTCCGTCCGCCTACCTGTCCCTCTCCCTCTTTCTCACTCTCACTCACAGACACCAACATGTATGTGATAACACCAACCAACCGGCACAGGACCTTTGCTCATGTCATGTCATGCACACGACACGCAAAAACCAGCCGGTCAGATCACACCACACCGGCCACCTCATTCATTTGTTTGTTCCTTTAAAAGTCCATCCATAGATTGCATATAGAGACCCCCAGCCAGCCAGCCACGAACGATAAGGCAAAGTGAACCAACAATCAGTCATGCCATTGAATGAATGCATGGGGGACGGGACGGGACAGCCCTGCATTTCGCCGGATATGGAATGGATGTGTGTGTGTGTGTGTGTGGATCACATCACTTGAAGACTTTGCTGTCGACGATCGGCTTGCCGTTGACCATCCTGATGCGCACACCCATGCCATGCAGTGCATGACACACCACACACGAGTGTATGGTCTGCTTCTGTCTGTCCCTGGCTGGGGTGCGTTGGTGTGCGAGTGTGATCCGTCTCGTCTTACTCGTCGGCACACCAATAGTCCTCGAGCAGCTTCTTGTCGGCGGGGTTGTTCAGGTCAACCGCACTGCAGTGCACCGCATTCATTGGACAGACAGCACACACTGTGGTGGCTGTTCGGTCATCTCCCCCCCCGTCACCCTCCCCCCCTCCCTGTGTGCATTGGTTCCTCACCGGAACTCGTGATACTCATAGGAGGGGTGGTCCTTCATCTGCACCACACATCCACACACCAAGGAAGGATGGAATGGACGCAACCAACCACTTAGTTATCTGTGCACGCATTGAATGCATTCGTGTGCATGTGTGTGTGTGTGTGTGAGGCTGTGATGCGTACGCACGTCGGGCGGTATCTCGGTGCCGCGGAACAGCCACGCACCCTCGATGTCAAAGTCACCTGCCCCGCATCGCATCGCATCCATGGCATGGAGGCACAGAGCAGCCATGATCACTCTTCATCCTGGTTGGTGCTGGCTAGTCCTGCGCTTATGGGCCATCCATGGCTTGTGTGTGTTGGGTCGGGTGGCCAGCTCACTCACTCCTTCACTGACTCACCGTCTCCGCCGACCACGTCCATGACGGCAAACCCGTGCTTGCGCAACTTGTCGCACCGCTGACATACATGACACACACGGACGTGACACGTGTGTGTGGTGCTGGTGTTAGTTGTGTTAGTTGTGTTAGTTGTGTTAGGTTAGTAGGCTACTCACTTACCTGTATGAAGCCGCTGAGGAGGTTGCAGGTCATGAATCCGACTTTGCCTTCGCCCTCGGCCTTGACGTACTTGACGAAATACAGACAGTAGCCCTCGGGGTCGTAGTTCTCCCTGGTGGTGCCATGGATGGCAGGGATGATGGGCACATCACAGGCACACACAACACAGACGTTCGATGCGTGTGTCTGTCTGTCTGGCTGCAGGTCATTCGCTCACTCCCTCACCAGAACCATTTCATCGCCACGCCGTAGAGATCCTTCGTGTTGGAGTACGTCTGCAGGGGTCACGTCACACACATCGACACGCGTGTGCGTGTGCGTGTGTGTGTGTGTGTGGGTGCGTGGCGACGGTTGGCTAAGTGCATTCATTCACGCAACCACCCTTCACTGACCCGTTTCCACTCGTCCATGACCATCTTGGCGGGCGGCAGCAGGTCCAGCGGATTGGGCTGCTTCTTGGCCGGCGCCTCTTCGCCCTCAATGTCATCGCCGCCGCCTGCTGCCGCCGCTGCCGCTACACAACAAAACCACAACAGATAGACACAACACAATCCAATCCAATCCCCCATCTGTATGTCATCTTTGTTGTGTGTGGATCGTGGCGTGTGCAGACAGTTGATGCGATGCTGGTACGTACGTATATATGTTAGTTACCCACCTGTGTCCTTTTCCTTTTTCTTTTCCTTCTCCTTGGGAGCCTCGGCCTTCTTGTCCTTCTTGCCCTCCCCCGGCTTGGCAGTCTTGGCCTTGCACGCCTTCAAAAACGCTGCAGTGCAGTGGTGGACATCGACCCACACCAGACAGACACCAGACAGACAGACGCACACAAGACAGACAACAACACAGCACGTGATATGCATGTACTGAGGCAGCTAGGCAGGCAGGTAGGTATGTGTGTGTGTATGTTTTGTGTTGCATTGCACCCCACCCCACCAGATGAGATGCACTCTCTCTCTCTGACCTGGCTGGTTGATGCACGTGTTGTACCATCGCACCACATTGGGGAAGGACGACTGGTACTCTGACACACACACACACACACACACACACACACAGAGGTCCGCACACCACACCACCACCACCACCACCACTCTCAGATGAGTGGCCGACTGACTGACCGGCGTCGAATGCCTTGTCAAACGCGGGCATGAGTGTTGTGGCCATGACGATGTCAGCCAGGGTGACGTCCTCCCCCACCAGGAAGGTCTGGTGCAGCAGGTGCTCGTTGACCACCTTCAGCGCCTTGCTCACGTCGTCCTTGGCCCGCTGCGCCTGGGCGGCCGGCAGCTGGTCGGCGGAGCCCTCCAGAGGGTACACCCAGCAGCACAGGGGCACCTCCAACTCGTGCACGCAGAAATCCACCCACGAGTCAACCTGGTGGACAAACCACACCACACATGTGTGTGGGTGCGGTGTGCAGCGCACAACAGATGTGTTCGTGTGTCGTACCAGCCCTGAGTCGACGAATGTGGCGCCCATCAGGGCGGTGTCGTTGCGGATACGAGCCACGTACCGCGCAATCGCGTTGCTGCGCACCCCACCACACACCACACCAGCACACCACGCCATGCAAACAAACGTACGTGTGGTGTCTGTCGTCTACTCCTTATGTTTATATGGATGGGTGGAGAAGGGGAGGGTACAGTAAGTACTGAGTGTACTGACCTGCCGAAGATGGTGGATCCATCGTTGGTCTCGAGGAAGGGCATGACTCCCGTGGGGTTCTTGTCCTGCAGATCTTTGCTCAGCTTGCCCTCCTTGTGCGTCACGACATCCACCTTGACGCCATTGTACTCGGCCGCCACCACCACCTTGCCGCTGCGGGGCACCTTGTCAGACACGTGCAGCTTCTGCGCTCACACACACGCACACACACACACAACAGACAGAGCAGGCAGGAGTGATGCGACAATCTGCTGCGGGCAGATCTGTGGGTCAGGTGCTCTTTGTGCATATGGGTTTCTGCGCCCACCATCGTGTGCTACGTATGCGACGTCAAGAGCACTGGGATCTCTGAGTCGTTTGTCGCTTCACGCTCGCGTTTCTGAGCTCGCGTTTTTTCGGAGTATGACAAGTGCACGGTGCGCGGGCCTGCCAGTCGCAGTGACCGACAATGACGCGTTTCTTCGTTCATCTGCACTGAGTGCATGTGTGTGCGCATCTCCATCCGTCAGTTGGTCGTTGAGTGTCGTCTGCAAGCTTCATGCATATATAGCTACATGCATACATCGCGCTTCGCGCCCACACGACCATACGTCCACTTGACACCATCCACTTCACCCACCCATACACACGTCTACACGTCCACACGTACACGCGCACGACACCACTCACTCACGCACTCACTGGATGTACAACCACAACCGGGCCGGCCACGCTGGCTAACGGGGTTGGGGTGTGTAAGTGATTCCTCGATGTCTTGTGGCCGGGCCGGCCACGGTACGTGCGTCAGTGTGTACGGTGAGTGCGTACAGGACACGGGACGGAGAGGACAGGCAAGGCAAGGCAAGGCAAGCCAGACACACACACATAACATACACATAGACACACTCACACTATGCACAGAGGAGAGGGGGCGAAGAGAGACCAGGGGCTGTACAATACATACAACCCATGTATAGTCAGTATACCCACCAAGGAAGTACGTAAGGCCATCCATCCATCCATCACATCCATCACATGCATCTAATCTACTCCCCACCCGACCGGCAAGGAAGGCAGCCAGCCGTCCATCTGCAGACAGACAAGCGGAATGGATGGATGGATGGCGTCGGCGTTGCCTGGCGTCCCTGTCCCTCAGAGTGGTCTGTGCGCATGTGGGCGCTGAAACCACTCTGTCAGACAGAGACGCGAGGCAACTGCTGACGCCATCCATCCATCCATGCATCCATCCATCCATCCATTCGTCTGGAAAGCAGACCAGAGTCGGTGTGTCTCTGACTGACCGCCCCCACCCTCCGTCCTTCCTTCCCGTATGCTACGCTACCATCCCATCTCGTGTATGCTATGCGTCTGTCTATCCAGGTAGGTCTAGTGCATATATCAGTGTTGTGTTCTGTGTGTGGGTGGTGAGATTGATCACTCGTCGTCTCCGTCGCCATTCTTCTTCTGTCGTTTGTTGTCCTTGTCCTTGATCTCGTCGCTGACGCCGTTCTCGGTGATGGCGAATTTGGCGTCGATGTTGTCGGGCATGGAGGGGGAGTCGTAGATCTTGGCGACGCGGTTCTGGCCCTTGCCCTTCTTGAGGTAGAGGCGGGTCTGCGATGCGTGAGCCATGATGTGCCCCCCGATGGGCTTCTTGTCCTCCCCCCCGCGGAACACCGCCATGGGGTCCACCGTCGCCACCACCTGGTTCGTGTACACTACTGCATCCACCCACACATCCAGACATCCATCAACACAGACAGACAGACAGACAGATGCATGGGTGTGCCGTCCGTCATCACCTCCTCTCTCACTCTTGTTGGCCACTGACCAGCGATGCCAAACTCATCGGCCATCCTCTGCAGCTTCCTGAGGAACTGGCAGAGGTGCCCCTGACGGTCGGCCAACTGAACACACAAACACACACACACACACGCACACAAGTGTGTCGATGAGTGACAGGTCGGTTGGCGTGTGGGTGGATCGCTGGCTGGCCGTCCCGTCACACCACGCACCGCACCTGTCCGCGTCCCTGGTATTCTGATCTGTAGAGTGCGGTGACGGAGTCTACGATGAGGAGTGCGAATCGCGCCTCGACCATCATCGAGGCCGCCTGCACCAGCAGCTCCGTCTGGTGCTCCACGTTGTACGCACGCGCATGCGCGATGTTCTCCAACACCTGCTCGGCGTCCAAACCTGACCACGGGGGCCACAATGAATGGACCACACAACACACACAGCACAGGCCGATGAGAACGAAGGCACCCATGTGTGCTCGCCGCACCGTGTGTGCACTTACCAAAACGTTCGGCTATCTTTGTGATGCGCTCCGGGCGGAAGGTGCCCTCTGAGTCTATCCACGCGACCCTGCCCTCGGCCCCGCCCTGCTCCACCGGCAGCTGGGAGGTCACGGCCAAAGTGTGACACACCTGCGTCTTGCCCGAACGAAACTCGCCAAACACCTCCGTCAACATACCTGCACCACACAGCACAGCACAGCACACAGCACATGACACAGGTATGTATGACATCACGCCAATGGATGCATTGCATTGCATGCAGCCTCCGGGGCACCCAACCAAACCCAACCCAAGCAACCCCCCCGACGTACGTACGTACCGGTTTCTATGCCTCCGCCGAGTATGGCGTCGAACCCCGCACACCCTGTGGTGAGTTTGACGATCTGTTGGCGCATGAGGTTGATCTCGGTGGCGGACGAGAAGCCCATGTGCACCAGCCCCTTGACGGCCTCCTTGAGCTTCGCAACCTTCTGCTCCGATATGCCCTTGACCTGCTGCAGCAGACGCGACGACGCGTACGCCACCGCCTCGACCGTCGTGTACCCAGCCTCCTTCAAGCACTTCAAGTCCCTGTCCGTGAAGCCGTGCGCATGCAGGTGCTCCAGCGGCGTGACGACGCCACCCGCGGCCTCACCCTCACCCTCAGCCAACTCGGCCTCCTGGGCGTCGCGCTTGTTGTTGCGCTCCACCAGCTGCCCTGCCGCCGCTGCCATGGGTGCTGACGAGTGTGGTGATGGATGGATGGCTGTCAAGGGAGCGGTACGTTCGTTGCGCTGCGAGAAGAGCGAAAGGGAAGCCGGGCGGCCTTTAGCGATGGATGCGGGGAAGTCGGAGCCAAAGACCTCGCCGAAGGGCAAGAGGCCCTCACCCGCGAATGCAGCGGGCCGCCTAGGGACTATTTTTCGCTTTCACAGAAGCGTGGCCTAGGGTACTTCGTGAAACCGCTGCTCGGCGAACAGGTTTCGTAACAGAACCTTCTGCACAGCGTGCAGGTGGCTGAAGGGATTCCTCAAGTGTTGGTTTGAACCCCGAAAATCTTTTGCTTCAGCTTCTTACAGACTCAAGGCTGCGGCCTGCCCCTGGCTCCCCGCTGAGTGACCGTCGCTGTGCGTACGATGTCCGTAGCGCCAGCGACGGCGCGTCGGCTTCGGTTGTTGTCTTATCCGTCCGTGGAGGAGATCTCCCTGTCTGGTCATGGTTACGGCAAGGTGATAGTGTGGCTTGAGGAGGAGAAGATTCGGTTGTACAGCCGGGAGGAGAGGAAGGCGCTGCGGCAGTTCGACCGCAACTGGTGGAACACATTTATACAGGTCAGCCAGCCAGTGAGTGAGTGCAGTGCATGGATTGGATTGGATGCATGCATGGGTTATGTAGTGACACACCAAGCAAGTCGCCGGCCGTGATGTGATGCGTGCGTGTCTGGTGCGTGTGTGTGTGGTGTGCAGTATTGTCGTGAGCTGGGCCTGAAGCTTGACGAGGCCTCTGTGCGGGACGCGGCTGCCAACCGCAGTGCACTGCTGGACAGACTCGTCTCACTCGCCGTGCAGGTGAGATGACTGGCCAAGAGACAAGTGCCCAAACGGCTCACCCCTGCTGTGCGTCGTTGTCTGCTCTGCTGCTGCAGGACATCTACAAGGACGCAATCGAGGGTACAATCGCACCAGCAGCTTAACGCGCTCTCATCCGTGTCAGCCATCTATCCTCGCTCCATGGTTTGTTTTGTTTCATGCAGAGCAGCGTCTGACCCCAGCAGCAGATGCAGACGCCATGCGCCAGAACGGCCACGCCCCATCCGGCAACCGTGCCGGTGCGACCACAGGCCTGTCGGTGGGCAAGTTGGTGTCGCCAGTGAACCGGATGCTGCAGGTGCTCGACCTCCCGCTGCTGCCTGCACAGGGCCGGGTCACTGAAGAAGAGCTGCTGGCTGCGCTGCAGGTCAGACACACGAGCCGCTCAGCGAGTGGGGACGGACGGGGCGATGGGTGTGTTATGTGTGTGCTGTGTTGCGGTATCCATCCATTCATCCATCAGTGTGTGTTGGTTCGGGTGCGTCCGGTTGAGACGGACCAGACACACAAACCCAAGCTGGACCTGCCGCTGGGATTCGAGTGCATCGGTCAGTGAGGCCTCACATCCCCACAGCCACCGTGACAATGGAACGGATTCTCCTTGCCTGCCTGCCTGTCTGCTCCTGATTGTCGTTCGTCAGACAAGGATGTCCGCGATGCTGCTGTTGTCCTGCGGCTGCTGCACGGTGAGCTTAGCTACCAAGCCAACAGAGATACATACTTACTGCCACCAACACATGCATCGCATCAGGAGGTGCTCTATCTGCCTTCGTGTTGTGTTGTCAGGCCGTGAGTTGCGGAAGCTGCAGACCAACATCAATGGGATGATCAACAAGCTGCAGGAAATAGTCGCCGACCCACGCACAGACACCAGGTAGGTTGGTCGGTGAGCGGGCGGGACTGACTGACTGATTGACGCGTGCATCGCATCGGACACACACCTGTGACTGTCGGATGTCTTTGCGTTGCTTGGCAGGCTGGGCCGCGTGGGCAGGTGATGGGATGGCTGCATGCATCACGGCATGGATGGGGCGGGGCGGGACGCCTGGATATGATGGTCTGTCTGTGCTCAACTGACGACTGGCGGCGAAAAAAACGTACGTACGTACGTACGTGTGTTTATTTGTCCATGGACAGATCTGATCAATGTGAGTGCCTCGCAGTGGCTTGTGCATCAGAATGCAAGGCGTGATGAACAAAAAGCAGTGGAAACAACGGCTTCAGCTTAGCTCGCATGCTGATCTCGCCATTTGATCAAAGGGCGTGACCAGCCGAATCTCTCGCATGCCACCGTCCCCCGAATGCCATGTTCCCTCCCGTCGTTAAGGCCCTGCGCACAAGGCTTGTCCCGTGCTTTCCGAAGATGCCATGCCGTTCATCTTCGTCCGCTGCTGCAGATCCGCCTCCGCGTGAGTATTTCTACGTCGTAGGGCATCAGGGGCACCTCTTTCTGGAGGACACCGAGCCTAAGAACATCGCAACATCGCTCAAAGGTGAGCGATGGATGACCATCACTGCAGGACAAATCGCACTCATCCCCATCTGTTCCTACGTTTGCACGTGTGTGCGCTGCTGAGCAGACGGCAAGTTTCTGGATTTCTTCTGGCGCCAACTCCGCGAGAACACGTCGCGTCCCGACCTCGCTGAGCGGTATCCATGGGTTTCGCCGTGTGGCCGAGAGCTCAACTGGGTGCGGGCAGAAGAGGCGCCTATCGTCTTCCACTCACTTTGTATGTGTGTGAGCCACAGCCACCTGGCACGGCACGTGAGTCCCTGCCTGCCTGCCTGCTTGAATGGATTTGGTGTGCTGTGCTGTCTTGTCTGTTGCCTGCATACCATGCATGGCATATGCAGGTGAGGGTGGCGACGCTCCCTTCCTGACCTATGCGGGAAGGTCAGCAGACGAAGAAAGCTACACGTTGCAGGACAGGGGGGAACCAAGTGTATGTCGTCAGCCTCGTGTTGTGCACGTGTCTTGTGCGTTCTGCATGGATGGATGGATGGATGTAGCCTGAGGGTGCCATTCCACCCCGAGCAGCTGGTGTCTTCTCGTGGTAGGTTCTTCCACCCATCTTTCTTCAGGCCACGCAGTGCACGGCGGGCCGCACAGGCGTCACCGGCAGATAGCAGCGCTGAGGCCCCAATTAGAGAGGAGCCGACCCTGCCCTCCACCGTGAAGACACGTAAGCTAAGCCCGGAGAATGGTCACATCCATCCATCATCCATCCATAAATCCGTCCGTCCACTGCATTGATGGATGGATTACATGGTTGTGGTGTGCGCTGGGCTGCGTGCAGCTGCAGATTATCTCAAAGTAGGTCTGCTATCGACGCACGTGGCGGTCGCTCTCGCCGACCGTATACAACCAAAAGGTGACAGACACACCCACACCGACAGGCAAAGGGCTGTGTCTTTGAACAGGTTGTGGCGGCTGTGTGTATGTGTGTGTGTTCATCAGAGTCGGTGCCGTCTGCTGCCAGCCACCTTGAGCACGGCGGTCGGCCGTATCATTTAGTGTTCGAGCACCGAGGTGTCCTCTACCCCATTGTCGACCTGTAGATATATGTCTGCGTGTCGTACTAGCTTGCCTGTGTCTCTGCATGAAGTCAGATTCTGTTGCGCCGCCAGTCGGTGCACACACGTTGACACATCCATACATTGACCGTCAGAGAGTTGATTCCTTGGATGAATCGTCACACACCGTGCACTCACACATGCGCGTCCATCCACCCCACCCATGGCCCCAATAAATACAACAAAAGACGGCGACATAGATTCATTCTCTGCCTCTCCACGGTACACGTGAAGGGAGCCGAGCCGACCGATCATATCCGGCGAAGCCCCTCATGTACGACGGCCACACCATTCTCACATACATGACATGACATGACATGACGGGCCATGCCGCGTCAGCTGTCATCCCATCCAGGCAGCAAGTCTGAATACGACCATGACAGACACCCGCACGAAGATAAGTACGGGAGGGAGACAAAACTGCCATTGCGTGTATGTGTGTACAGGAAAAACACGCACTCTGCCTTGCCTTGCCTCGGATGTGTCCCGTCATGTTCATTCATATTTGCGAGAAAACGGGGGGTCCGAGAGCCGGGAATCCCTGGCTATTGCTCGGCGCCACTCCTGCCCCAACACTACCCGAGCGATAGATGCCCTCCCACTCCCTGGCATGGGCATCCCACCTCCCCTCAACGTGCACATGCGGCTGCTGTTGCTGCCACACATCAAGCTGCCTCCTCACATCACCCCGCCGCCGCCGTCTTCTCTTGCCCTTGCCCCCGCCCACCACCCACCGCCACCCCAGCAGCGATAGCACGCCATAAACCAGGAAGAGAAAGAGCAGCAGGAGCGTCAATCTCAGCTGCCGCCGCCGTCTTTGCAGCTCGCTGTACCCGTCCCGCATGGCCGTGCGAGTGGCGCATGTGCGTGGGTCGGGTGCTGCTGTATGGTCGGTGGTCGAGTGGGGCAGGAGGGGTGACGATGCCGAGCGGCTGTGTGGCGTGCACTTGACAAACGTCAAAGGCTCCTGTGGATTGCCGCCGGCAGCCGAGCCGTTGGTGCGCGGCGCCCGCAATGGCAGTAGGCCAGCCGTTATGTTACTGTCGGCGTCGTCCTGGATGCCTGAGGGCGGCGGCAGGGGGTCCAGCAGCAGCAGCCTGGCCGCTTGGTGGTTGACGATACTCCGGACCTTCTGCGCCAGCTGGACGGCCTGCGGGACGTATGTGTGATACGACTGGGCCGTGAGGTGCATGAGGGCGCCGGGCAGCCATGCGAGTGTGGCACTGAGGTGCCTGAGCCGCCCTCCCAGCGTCGTGGCATTGTCACAGATCTGGTCGAGGAACCATGTGTTGAGGTCCAGCAGCTGGTTGAAGCGGCCCAGTGAGTCAGCCATGCCCCCGAACCAGCTGCCGTCGTTGTTGTACATGCCGTAGCCGTAACCGTAAGGCATTCCCCCCCCATATGTGCTGTAGCCGCCATACCCCCCGCCGTAACCACCGTAAGCCGCCCCGCTCCGCCACCCATAGCCACTGTAAGCACTGGGCCGATTATACGATTGTGGGTAGCTGCTGTAGCTGGCCCCGTAGCCCGTGTTCATGAAGGTGCCGGAGGGATACGACGACATGTACGATGGCACGGCCGTCGACGAAGAGAGGGCACCGCCGGACGGCTGTTGTGCAGCACCAGCCGGAGCAGTTGCGCTCGGGAGAAGGCTGCTGCCGTCGGTCGCAGCCGGTGGCGCACGAGTGAACGGAACGACGACATTGGAATCGCTGACGCCGAAACACACAAGAACACACCAGCAAGCTTTCAAGACTTCCCTTCCACGCCCATCTGGCTTTGTCACCTGGCTAATGCCGCAACAGCAGCTGGTTCTGGCGCGGGCACAGTACTGGACGCCGCTGGCTCCTCTTTGGCTGTTGGCTGCGGCTGTGACGGCGAGGGCAGAGGTGAAGAGGTGGAGTGAGGGAGAGGTGACGGTGCGAGAGATGCACCTGCCGCAGGTGTGCGACGCTGCCACGGCTTCGGAGGCGCCGCCATGGGACCTTACCTTCGCGAGCTTGGGTCGAGGGGGGAAGAGGGGAGAGGAATGAGGACAAGAGAGAAGGGCGCACGGACACCTTTAGCGTGGCCTGACCGAAAAACAATGAAATCTGTCTTGTTGATTCATGAACCAATTAAAGCATTCGCTACGCCTTCCTCAAGCACCTCGATGGCGGAGGATTGTTGGCAAGGGCTTTGTGTCCGCCACATATGTATATATCGATGCATTGGTTGGTTCATTTTGTGCCCCTCTGTGCAATGCATGTGTTGGCCGCCATTACCCATTCCATTGGCACGCACCCATCCACGCACCCGTTAGTTTGTGTAAGCCATGCATCCATCGTTTGTCAGTCAGTCAGTCCTTTCCTCACTCACGCACCGGTCGGTTGTGTGTTGACTCACTCACATGGAGGTGACTTGGGGTGCGATTTTGGCCTTCTCGACGTTCGGCAAATGGACATGTATTCCACTGTCCGGGTCTTCGCCTGGACACAGACACGCACACAGAGACAGACAGAGAGGAATGTTCGCTGTGGCCGCACTGTCTGTCTGTCTGTCTGTCTGTCCACCCAGCTCTGCTCTGGTCTGCGTGTGTACAGTAGGTACCTTCGAACACGAGTGCCTCTTTTTCCTCTGGTGTGGGGACGGTGGGCAGATCGGTGCGGAACTCACCAACGTGACGACACAAGATGGCCACGTTCAGCGCCACCCACAACTGCACACGTACATTCACACACAACCAGAGATTGCAGCAACGTAATGTGTGCGCGTCGGTGTGCTTTGTGAAAGTGAGTGAGTGAGTACTTTGTCGCGAGTCATCTGAGACTTGAGGCAAATGGTGTCGTCCGGCCTCTCACTGCACCCCGAACGCACACAGAGGAGGTGTGTGTCGCTGGTTGTGAATGTTGCTGGTGGTCAGACATTCGTACGCAAATCTGATGGCGGTGCACTGTTTGGAGGACGGTGTAAGCAGTATGGGCGTCTTGATGCCGTCCAAACCATACTTGGCCAGCTCCTGCACAGCACACACACACATTGACATACACAAACGCATGAGTGATTGGCTGTGTTGGGTGTTCACCTCGTCTGTGTCGGTCTCTGTGAGCCGCAGCGCATCGCCATCCAAAGTCACGTTACAGTGGATGCCTGCTCGTCGATCACAGAGACACACAAACCAATGCAATGTCTCTCTCTGTCTGCCACACAGACACACAACAAATTACCTACCGCCGTCCAGATTTTCGGCGTCTGTGATGAGCCTGGCCGTCATGTCGACCTTCTCTCCGCATACACCAGGAATCATCTGGTCCAGGTACTATTGCTTGTCGGGAGTGAATGGCACACGCTCGCCGGCGCACAGACAGGGACACGAGATGAGAGTGATGGTGAGGAGGGCCGCGACCACCGTCATTGTGGGACGGATGTGATGATGCATTTTTGTCTGTCCGTGTGTTTGATCGAAAGCTCCACGATTGATTCGATCACATATGTACGTACGAATGTATGTGTATATGTGTATGTGTGTATGTACAGGCTGAATTACCTCTTGGTGTGGAAGTGACAACAAGACTGTCCTGGCGAGAGTGTATGGCTGAGCGAGAGTGTATGGCTGAATTCATGAGTGAGTGAATGTCGACACGTACGTACATGCAAGCGTCTCTCCTGACTGACTCCTGACTGACTGCACACACTGACGAATGGACACCTGCAGGGCCGTCTGACGGATCTGTACGGTCATACACAAGCCAAGGTCTACACGGGTGGGGCGTGCTTCCACATCTCATCTACCCACTCCGCCCACGCAGGGTTTTGCTCACGGTCTCTACGACCTCGGGCACCTCGTCGCCTTCCTTCACCCCCGGCGGTAGCGGGATCATGCGTATCATCTGGATCAGACGGCCCTGCCAGGTCCCGGCCCACATGCTGTCGGCCGGCGGCGCCAGTTTTGCCGTGGGCTTCTCCTCTTTCTCCTCAAGCTGCTTGAGCAACTCTGCGGCGATGGGCGTCAGTAGCACCTGCAGACCGCCACTCTCCAAAGCTGCGCGCAGATTGGCAAAGCTGACTGGCTTGTTGCTGTTGTCTTGCTCCTCCTCCACCTTATCGCCAGCTGCTGAGCCGCCCGTCCCTTTGCCCTTCCCTTTGCCCTTGCTTTGCCCTTGCCCTTCCCTTTGCCCTTTCCTTTCCCTTTCCCCTTCTTGGCCGCCGCAGCTCCCGCTGTGTATGTCAATGTGTGTGTGTGCTGTGCAGGAGCTGGCCAAGTATGATTTGGACGGCATCAAGACGCCCATACTGCTTACACCGTCCTCCAAACAGTGCATCGCCATCAGATTTGCGTACGAATGTCTGACCACCAGCAACATTCACAACCAGCGACACACACCTCCTCTGTGTGCGTTCGGGGTGCAGTGAGAGGCCGGACGACACCATTTGCCTCAAGTCTCAGATGACTCGCGACAA